TTCTGAATGATGATAATTGCAATTTTGTGTGCTTTTACTTGATGTTTAATGTCTTTGGGTGTTTCATTTCCTGAATTTGATTGCGACTATTATACGAGTAAAGGAATCATTTTGCTTATCATAACTTCATAATTGTTTGATTAATTGCTGTATATACATTGTTGTGCTTTTGATATTATTCTTTTTTTATGTAGAGCTCTTAGAAGTGTACCTATTTTTGTTTTTACGCGTTTTATTTGTTGAGATATTAGCTTTGTTGACAATAAGGTGCTTTTGCGACTGCAACACTGTTTAATACCAGTATTGGTTGCTCGTTATGGAACATATATCTTGCATTTTGGGGGTGATACTTATATAGATGACTAGCTTATACCTGTTCCTTAGTCATATTTTCTCCATGTTTCTCATTTGGTGTGATTTTGTCGATATAATAGTAGGAAGTGGGAGAAGGCTCAGTTTGCGCTATTTGTCATTTAGTTTAGTCATATGCTAGGCTAGATGAGTTTAATGCATTAATGGCTCCACCTTATGTTGAGCATGACTTTGAGCTCAAATTGACCTCTTTGATCACTTTCCCTGTTCTAGTCATTTGGGATATTCAAATTATGATGGCAACAGTTTGCATCTTTATAAGAATCAAACTGTGCCCTGAATTTTACATTCTTACTCAGGCCTCATTGGCATTTTAATCAATTTTTTATATGGCATGTCATTGTATTCTCTGTTCATCCTTTATAAAAATTTTGTGTATTAATGATACTGGCCTGCATGTTTTTATTTGTGTTTTTAATTATTATTATTATTCCTATGGATCCCATATCTTTTTTAGAACTCGCCTTCTGGAAATGTTGATTTATTTAATGTGATGTTAGTTTATTGACGGCTCCTTATTCTTTCCATTTGTTTTTCTCTTGGATGTTTCAGGAGGAGGCAACAGCTACCAAGTCAGCGGGCAAAGCATGTTATCAGAATATGATCTCTGATAGTGATTACACAGAGTTTGAGAACTTCTCTAAGTGGTTGGGTGTGTTGCAGTAATTTAGATTTTGCTTTAGAAATTCACGCAGACAATGCATCAGTTTTGATTTAGTGTTGACATTTTATTTGTTTTGCTGGTTGGAGATGTGCATGGGAACGGCTGGGATGAAAATTAGTGGAATGGCATGCTCCCATGCACTTTTTATAGCTTCCACCCTGTTATCGCATTTTATGGCTAGTGGAATAGTTTCCATTGAAATGAGAACAAGAATTAAATAGCTGACAAGTATCGTTGATCTTTATGTTAATGAAATGTTTGCTGTGTTCATTTCTTTTTGCTTCTTGTTTTCTTTATGTTGGGCGGGAGGGAACTGAATGGCTTCAAAAGAATGTTCGCGTATTCGATTATGTCTCTGACATCAGTTTTCTAAACTTGTTCCTACGATAAATAATGGTGAAGATTTTTATGAGTTCTGCAGGCTGTCTTTTATTAGTGTCTAAATCTTCCAGTAAACCCATCTCTATAGTTACGCTCCAAAAAAAAAAAAAACAAAATCAGCGTTTCAGGTGGTTGAAGTTAATACTGAATCATTTGTGGTTAGTAGTATCTACTTTAGTATTCCAATCATTTCAAGGAGAAATTTTTCCCAATATCATCAATCCTTTATGCAACCATTAGCATTGTGGGTTATCGGTGTCTTACTGTTAGAAAATTGTTTGGAGCACAAGTATTTTCCAACCCGAAAATTTCTCTCCCCTAACTACTGCAGAGTGCAGACTGATGAAGTGGCAGCTATGATGAAAATGGTGTCCTTTAGAGTTGTCTTCGATTGCTAATTTTGAGGTTTAGTACTCAATATGGAAAGGTTATGCGTTGGGCCTATGCGCCACAACTCGGACTAGTTTCTTTGTCTGGGCTCTGAAATAGGCCTGTTTTATTGTTTTACAACCACATTACCCAATATATTCTCCGGCCTTAAGGCAATGCTGGTGCCTCGACTGGCCCATATCATGCCCTCTTGCAAGTTTTTTCAAGTATGGAGTCCCACGCCCACTTCATCGTGATCCTTGCAGTCGTCTCATTATTAAAAAACAAAAATTATAATTGTTTTTTTATAACTTAATTATTAAATTAACAAATTTTTTTTAAACAAAGCTTTAATGTGTGGGTTGACTATAGCAACATAGGCATACCTTGCATGCATCGAGATGATTAAAAAAGTTAACATAAAAAAAAAAAATTTTAAGGTTATTATTCATTGTCCAACTTGCTTTAAATTAATATTTTTCACACTCTTGATCTCCTCGAAGTAGTGCCTTTGTACTTTACATGTCATAATTTTAGGATTTTAAGCAGATAGCAGAAACAAATTGATTAATGTTAGTGAGAACAAGCTATCATCATCAACAACTTGTCATTTTCTTTTTAGTTTTCTTAACCTATTCAACTTCACTCACTTTCATTCATAATGACAGACTTACCCTTTTAATTAATTTCTTTTAAAAATCTAAAAAAATAAAAATCATTCTTTTTTAGTCGCAAGCTGACTGCAATTCCACAAACTTCTTTAAAAATTAATTAGCTTGGTCAATTATATTTGGGATATTTTGAAAATCTAATCGAATATTGCAGCTTTGTATTTTTTTTTATTTTAACACATAAAAAACTAAACAATTAAGGAATGTGATTATCAAAGCACGTTGGCGTGGACTAAATAAAAAAGGCACGTGCTGTTATTCGTCCTTTTTTGTCGCATCTGCCGAGGGCACGTCGGGAATTCAATTTCTATCCTTCAAAACTAACAAATTTCTCTCTTTTATAAATATTTTTTATTTATTATAATAATTTACTCCTTCTTTTTTTTTTAAATCGCCCCCCAAAAAAAAGGGTCCATACGGTTTTTTGGGTTGGGCCCACATGGTCAGTTAGAGCCTTTTTAGAACGTAGCCGACGTGTATGGATGCTGCCCTCTCAAACCTAAGACAATCCCTCGCCCAATTTGCATTCATTTTATTCAAAAAAATCATCATCGGAGCACTCCCTCTTTAGATCATCATTGTAGGCTATCTTTTTTGTTTTCCTTTTTCTTTTGTTCCTCATTTTTAGAATCCAACTTTACTTTCTTTTGAGTTTTCATTTGCATTTGACTTGTCGAAATTATGTAGTTAACATCTTAATAATTCATTTATTTTAAAAAATTAAATCCATTTAATTTTTTATCAATTTTATACGTTATTAAAGTTTAAGTTTGAAGGCTGTAAATTTAAAATAATTAATACACATAATATTCTCTTAAATTAAAAATTAATATATATTTTACAATATTATATTATAAATTTTAATTATTTGTTAATAAAATTATTATATGATATAAACTAATTTAATTATTTATTAATATAATTATTATTTTGATAAAAAATAATTTAATAAATTATAAATTCTTTATTCATTTTATAAATATTAAATAATTTATCATTTTTATTATATATAAGTTTTAATATAATATTTTTATCAATTATTTTTTATTTTTATTATAATTTATTTTATTATCATCATTATTTTTATATTCAAATATATATCTCATTATTAATTTTAATTTTACTATTATAATAATTAATTTTATTGCTACAATAATAAATCTAACTTCCCCTATTATTTTTATTATCATTAAAATCAACCGTATCGTCCATTCAAATATATCATAAATCTTATTTATAAATCTAGTGTGAAATGAATGGAATTTTACCACACTAACTTTTATATCAAACATAATTTAAAGTTTTATTTAAATAATCGATAAAATAATATTTTCTATATATCATCATGTTATTTTATCATTAAATCATCCAAATAAAACATAAGTGAATAAAAAAATTAAAATAAATGCCTTAAATTGAAAAAATATATCATATTTTCTATTAACATAATTTTATTTTTATGACTAGACTTTTAATCAAGGAATAAAATTCGTATGAAAATGTATATATGATAACAAAAATATTATTTTTCTGCTTAATAATCAAATATATGATTCAAACGATTTTATAATACAGTACATACCACGTGATCGGAGCTTATATTTTATTTTGATTAGATTTTATTATGAATATCATATGCTTGGAAATTATATAATATCCCTTATTATTAATTCTCATCTATGAGTCTTGTTAATTTACTTCTCAAATAGGATAAAAACTGTAGGCTAACGATTTTAATTATAACATAGTGGTAATCCTTCCTACCTCATTGAAGAATCAGGCCAGAGGGTGGTAAATATATTTATAATAAAAATAATTAACCTTATCCATTTATACTTTAACTTTTAACTTTTTTTTAACAAAATATTATTATATAAACAATAAAAGGCAATTGTGTTTGTTTCATCTTTATTTTTTCTATAATATCAAAGGTATCCTCGAATTTTAAATATATTTAAAATTTTTATTTTTGAAATATTATTTATGAAAAAGGAATTTATTTGTTATTAATTGAATTAATCTTATAAATATTTTTAATATTATAATATAAGTACTATCTAAGATTAACATGATTAGGAAGAGAAGTGAGATTGGATAAATCTTACAAAATAAAGTTTTTCTAATAATAGTAAAGCCTATTGCTATAAATGAAAAGGATGCGACACTTTTGTGCTATAAAATTTATTTAATGTTTTCATTGACAGAAGCATATCAACTCATAGATTTTATAAATCCAAGCGAAACTAAAAAAAAAAAAAAACCAATAAAAATGGCTTTAAGAAGCAAGAATAAAAAATTAAGGGCAATTAAGGACGTGGCGGAATCCAAACATTGGAATCCATGCAAAAACCATCATGATTCATTGATTCCTGTAAAAATCTAGTAAATGCTATGTTTCTATATGCTACTGATAAGGTTTGGTACCAATAAATAAACTTAAATAAACGTAGTTTGGTGGGGATTTCGGGGCGTCGAAAACTATGAAAGTAGATGTATATGAACGACACGTGTTGAATGAGGGGCTGACGGTGGAGGGTGGGGGGGGGTTCTGTCTCTCAGTGGCTGAGCCTAGGGCTAGTGATAGTCTATTCACACTCGATTTCTAGCTTTGAAATCATTTTAGTAATACTAATGGGGGGTTTTGAATGATTTTTTTTTTCGTTTTTAAATTATCCAAAATGGCAAAATAGGCAGCTACTTGTTTCTGCATACGTCCCATCTTTCCCTTTTGAGGGACCCTCCCATCTCTCTCTTTCTTTTTCTCGTCTTTATTCGTTAATTCCTGCAAAGCCTCCACCCAACAAACAAATGAATCCTCTAACCCTTCCTTGAGGTCTCCTTCCTCCACCACCCCAAGCCCGCCTTTCTTCTCTTTGTTTTCCAATTTCATTTTGTAGTTCTTTTTTTTTTTTTTAAGCTTAGTTGCGATGCTGGATCTTAACTTGAGTGTTACTTCGGTTGGTGATGTTTCGGTGGAGATGGCTGGAGAGAATCATGACATTTATGGTTATAATAATAATAACCGAATGGAAAGTTCTGGGAGCTTTGATTCTTCCATCGTTCACGCCGACACCACAACCACCACCGGCGACGATGGCTCTTCTTCCAACGCCGCTGGCACTGACGCTTTCGCTTACTCCTTCGGCATCCTCAAAGCCGCCCAAGACGAAGAACCAGAAAACAACAACACGACCATCCCGCTTTTCCCCGTCAACGTCGAGGGAGATGGGGGGAAGTCAACGGGATTGTCACAGAAGGAATGGCTGGATCTCGGCGGGTCCCTGGAAGCGTCGGAGCACGGCGGTGGTGGCGCGGAGGAGAGGATCGTAGCCCAGCAAGAACAGCAGGTTCAGTTAAGGCAACAAGTGAAGAAGAGTCGACGTGGGCCCCGCTCCAGAAGTTCTCAATATCGTGGTGTCACGTTTTATCGTAGAACCGGACGATGGGAATCTCATATTTGGTGAGTTGTACTTTTTTGCTCAATAGCTCAAGTTTAACTAAACCTTGACTATTACTAGTTAATTTTGCTTAATTCTAATATTTATTAAACTTGTTTTCATTTTCTACTTTCTCATTGGCTTTTTTTTCTTCTTTTATTTAAATTAATGTAGGGATTGTGGGAAACAAGTGTACTTGGGTGAGGAAAATTTAATGCTTTCCCCCCACCCCTCCTTTTTGCGCTGCTTAAAAGCTGTATGTTTTTTATTTTGATTTGTGAAAATTTGGCTGCTTTCGACTTTTTTTTTACAGGAGGATTTGACACAGCTCAAGCTGCAGCAAGGTAAATTTCTCAAATTGGTCAAGTGTTTTTTTTTTTTTAATTTATTTAATAAATGGTGAAAATTTGAGGTTAAATTTGTTTGGGGTGTTCGACAGGGCATATGACCGAGCAGCAATTAAGTTCCGAGGAGTTGATGCGGATATTAATTTTAATGTTAGTGATTATGAAGATGATATTAAGCAGGTTGGGCATTTAGGTTTTAAAATTTTAATTTATGCTTTTGAAAGTGATACAAAAAAATTGATTTAAAAATGTTTGGTTTTGTAGATGAGAAATTTTACAAAGGAGGAATTTGTGCATATCCTGCGTAGGCAGAGCACTGGCTTTTCAAGAGGTAGTTCCAAATACAGGGGAGTTACATTGCACAAATGCGGCCGATGGGAAGCTCGAATGGGGCAATTTCTTGGCAAGAAGTAAGCATCCTTTTGCTAATTTATCACGTAATTTTAATTTTCTGTTATTATATATAATAATTTTGTTACATCCGAGATGGTAGTATATTGGTTCGGACATGTTGTTTTAAAGTAGTGACAGTAAACTAATAAGTTGAATCATGAATGCATTGGTTCATTGTAACTGCCGGAAACTTGGTTTTCATTGGGTTAGCATACATTCCTTTCCTGCAGGTATATATATCTTGGGCTATTCGATAGCGAGATAGAAGCAGCAAGGTCCTTAGATCATAAATTCAATCTCTCTTGTAATACCATCAAATAATTGAATTCTAAACCAGTCTGACTTCCGATTCTCTTTTGTTGTTATTCTTTGAAAATCAGGGCTTATGACAAGGCTGCTCTAAAATGTAATGGAAGAGAAGCAGTCACCAACTTCGAGCCCAGCACATATGAGGGGGAGCTAATCTCGGAATCTGAAAATGGAGGTATTATTTGTATTTAGAAACTTGTCATCTTCGTATGTCTATAAACAATTTCTTGCATAAGTGTATATGTGAATTGTCGACCTCTTGTTACAGACCAGAATCAAGGTCTTGACCTGAACTTGGGCATTGCACCGCCTTTTACATCGGATCCTCAAAGGGTGAATGACAATTCAAGAAACTTTGCTTTCCAGCATGTCTGGGATGGCCTGCCTCTTGAGAGGGGAGCAAGGGTAATGCCAATAAAAGTTTGAAATCCTTAAGTTTAATTCAGCTTTCTGATTCCAGGAGGCATTTAGTTTCTTAAAAGCTTATATTCTCCCTCTTCAGATTGAGAACTCTGCTCCAGCAATAATGAGGGTTCAACCTAGTCCTGGCCAGGCAATGGCATTCAAGCATGTTCCAAACTGGAATGGTTCAAATCCCACTTCCTTTCCGCATTATAGGGTAAGCCCCTCATTTCTTTGGTTAGTCTATGAAATTGTTTGATCATTAATCCATGCATAGTGTGTAATGTTTATTTCAAGTGATACTGTTTTCTTTTATGTATGATACGATGATTTATGATTTGATTTTCTGTGTTATTTACAGGAAAGAGCAACAGAGAAGAGGATAGAAGTAGATTCATCAACAAACTGGGCATGGCAAATCCAAGGCCCTTATGTTGGGGCAAATCCATTGCCACTCTTCCCTACTGCAGCATCATCAGGATTCTCATCTTCAACAATTACTTCCCCATCAGCTGCTGCTGGCCAACTGCGCCTTCCAAGCACAACATTCCTCCACCATTATCCTCCAGTGATCACGAACCCTAACATCTCCCATTTCTACTGCAGGAGCTGAAAGGTAGAATATGCCACCATATTATATTAGACAGGCAATCAATGAAAAAATTTTGTTATAATTTGGTAGGCCCTGTATACATAGGGTATTGAAATGATCAATGTTTATTTCATGTAAAGATCATCAAACTAGTGTATTATGGTCTGGTCATTAGCAAAATTTGGTCAATTTGAGCCATAATTCGGCCTAACGAAAAACTCTAGCCGCTACTCAATCAAAGGAGTTCATGAAAGAAAACACTACCAAAAAATAAAAAAATCAATTTTATAGAAGTTCGATTGTATAATATAAAAAATTTAAAAATAAATGAAAAATGGAAAATTGAAAATTGGTTGATATGCAAACGGTTTACGTCGAAAATTTCTTGTTTTAAGACGAAGGACCCATGCTTCCATTAGTCAAGCGGGTAAACCGAGAACAAGAAAATCTGTGACAGAAAATATTTACTTCGTTTAGATTCTGATAGCCACGTGTAAAACTAGGGATAGTTCACATGTTGGGCCTTAAAAAACTTTGTTTGGATTAAAAGTTAAAAAAATGAAAAGAGAAAGAGAAAAAGTCCGCATTCCTCGGCTTTGTTCGAGTGTGGTACGCCTGCAACTGCAAAAAGATGGGGAAGAAAAGAAAGGGGGGGGAAATCTGAATTATGAGCAGCGTGAAAAGCCTGGCCTGGTGTACCTTCCATTGTGAAGCATAGTTGGAGGCTTTGATTATTCCAGCATGCAGTGACTTTCAAGTTCCCCATAATCCGTATCTCTTTTTCCATTCCGGTTTCCAGCATTGCCAGCTGCTTCTCAAACTTTTAGGCCTTTTTGTGTCTCTGAGTCATGCCTCACCTGGCTCTGCTTTGGCTTTGTTTCTCTACCAAGAGTCCCTAACCACTTCCTCTGCTTTGTTTCTGTTTTTTTAGGCCTTAGCCTTGGCTAGTGTCCGGGTTCAAAGATTCCAGGTTATGGGACATATCTACTAACCGTTGGTTTCTTAAGGTGCCCAATTCCTTGAACCATTTGCACATTGGTTCTTAGACCCAACCCTTTTATTTCTAAAGAGGAAGGCATTTATCTTGAGGATTGAAATGACTACAATCTGTCCTAGGATTTATGTATATGTGGAAGCCATCCATATAGAGCAATATATTATTATGATATTGAATTAGTAATACTTTTGAGACCATTTTTTTACCTAATTAATGATATGTACTGATTGTATAGCACACCAATGTATCCATATATTCAAGTTTGGTACAAATGTAAAATAAAAGGATAAATTATTAACATAAATAGTAGTATGTTGTTTGCATGAAAGACTAAAGGTGAAAAAAATAGGTGTATTTAAAATATAAATTACCTGAACCGGTGAACATGACCCTTATCTTTTTGCATCAAAACGCTCGTTGAAATATATCTTCTGAAACCAGTGATTTAGTGAACCTGTCCCTTACCTGAAAAGTGAAACCACTGACAATTACTATACCAATCTAAAGTAAATATTCATCAATATCTACAACCACTTACTGTCTTCGCACTCGCATATATCTTTTTGCATCAAATGCTATTTGATATTTTTCATATTTGGAATAGTGAATAGGGAACAAGCTAGCTGCTGTGAAAAAGACCCACCATTTTTTGCCCGCCGTCGTTTAGTTTTCTACAGGCAGCCAAATTTGTCTATGGAGCAATTTTGCTTGTGAAAACTAGATTAATCCTAGGTTTGGTCCATTTCCTTTCATTCCAGGTTCCTTGTATTGTTTAATGTTTATAGTAGTATTTGATTTGGAGATTTCCATGCCTCTCCAGGATTTCGTTTTTCTCTTGGCAACTACGGATGAAGGAGCCACTATCTAGGTACACAGGAGAGGAGAGATGTACAACGTTCACCGTCCAAATTAAAGCAGCAACATGACCCACGTGGTCGACCATGTCTTGCAGCTACAACAACAGGCTACTTCTGCCTAACTCTTGCAACCTTTGTTTCTGTTTTCTTCATTGACAGGGCACATAAGAAGGACCAATAATTAAATACACTAGTTGGGGCTAGGTCATAACGTACTATTGGCCACAGCATTACCCATGGCAAGCCGCTGTTCATAAAAACTCTGAAACATGGAAATTCCTGGTTTTAGGGCATGGGTTTTGCCTGATATTGTGAAGGTTTGGCCAATACTTGCCGTCTAGTTTTAAGTTTGGAAATTGACGGAGGAAAATGCATCATTAGTTATACAGCCTATCGGGTTTCTACGTGTTGAGGATATAGAGAGAAGATAACTTTCATAGTGCTACCATATTTAAGGTGATTCAAGTTAAAACTCAAAAGTCAGTTGAGAGAAATAAACTTTCAAAACAAGTACAAAGAAAGCATGTTAGAAACTAGAAAGGTGCTGTTCAGACTTTTCTAAAGACACAATGGATTAACCAATGCGCCTTTAACTGTGAGTTTACCTTTTAAATTGCTACTTTTGATTAAAAACAATTATCAATTTCAATTCTTAATGAATTTTTTAGAACTTTTATGAGTAGTAGCAATGAAAACTTAATTTATAAAAGGGAACATGAACATTTATCAGTTTCTGCCCCTAGCTTTTCTGTTTTCTTTATTGACACTAGCTAGCTAGCAAAAACTTCTGACTGTTCTCTTTGCCATTCAGCAAGTTATTTGCTACAATAAACTTCTGAACCAAATGTTAAAAGTATCAGGCTCTGAAGATGTTGAATATTGGAAGCGTATGAGACAAAAGAATTATTAATTATGCAGCTACATTACTTCATCATAAACTTTAATAATTGAAATTAAGAACTTAACACTCCATCACTCTATCAGATCACTTTGGCATGTGCAGCTACATTGATGCTCCCTTGTTTTTTACTCAACCACCGGCATAAAGATGGGGGTAAAGTTTCACTTCAAGGGTTAACAGTAAACAGGAAAAAAATATAAAAGTATCTCACTCACTAGTCACTACGAAATAACTCACTGCAAAAGTTAATAGAATTAACCATTACTTACGAGTACGATACGTGCATGAACATGCACGCTCATCACATGAATATTTTGGGGTGACAATAGTATTCAGTGGCGTAAGGCTATAACGTACAGATAACAGCCGTGCAAGTTTAACCAGGATCTTTATTATATTTTTCATGAAAAAAACCATCTGGCTGGGCCATTTTCTAGTCGTACATATACTAGGATATAGACTAGAACTAGACACCTACTACTACTACTACTACTACGACTATGGGACAGTGGGCTGCGTAGGATGGCAATGGCATGGCTGGACTACACGTACCAAATATATTTCTAACTGTGGACTATAGTGGAAAAGAAGAGGACCTTAGTACATTTCTTTCTCATGATTCATGAGCCCCTGCAATCGTACTGTTTTGGCACTCCAACGAACCTATGTTTCTGAAAAAGAAAAGGAGGTCTTGGCAATGGCAATTAGCATGCTGCTGAGGAGTAAGGTAGACCAAAGGGGAGGGTGTATTGAAACGACATTGACAGGGGAAGCAAGAGCGCCATAACAGAGTGGTGCTCGACTTCAAAGCTATTCATGATTATCAAATAGATGATAATGAAAATTTTTAATTTTATAAATGAATTTAATAAAATTAGACATATTATTTAAAATATATTTTTAAAAAATTGAATATGTGTCATTTTATTAATTTCATTTGTGAAATTAAAATATTTTATTAACAATATATCAAATAATTTATCTTACAATTAAAGGGATTTTGAATCAATTTCTATGAGTTCGGACTCCGAAATAACCTATCCATGAATTAAGCAAGCATTGTGTTTGCCATGCGTGGCCTGACCCACAAATTCAAGGCCTAAAAATCATTCCCAGAGCCAGCCTTAATTGGAGAAATGAAGCCCAGACCCACTTCATGTATAATAACATATGATTTTTGTTTTTTTGAAAAACATAATTTCAAGCAAAATAAGCTACAAATAGATTATAATTAAACAAAAAAAAAAATCAAATGAAGTCAACAATCAAAACTTAAAACCCAATCCAAAGAAAAACTAGTCCATGGATCATCATATTTCAAGGCGAATTGAAACTTAAACATTTAAAGAAAATAATTGACAATAAATAGTTAGAAGGCACTTTTCCTCTAAGATAATTTATTTTTATTACACAAAAAAATACAACAATATTTTGGAAAAGTAAAAATAAATACAGTTTATTAGTTATGTAATATTAACATGAATCAAATATAAAGATACTAATTAAATTTCTGTGACAGCAAAATAGGAACTTTACTACCAAAAATATATATATATATATATATATATATCTTAAGATAATATTGGCAGCAGCTGCCCCCATTATGCCATTGTAAATCCATCTTTAAACCAGTTCTTGAACTTTTGGTCATTACATATTAGGACAAGAAAGCTTAAGATTTTAGACAAGGGAGCTGCCTTATTACCCCTATTTCTACATCTATCCCTCTCTGCATGCACTAGTCATCATTCAGATCCCAAAACCGCAAAAGTTGCACTGTTGAGACCAGTGTTCTGATTCAGGTTTCCCTGCATACATAAACCAAGTCAAAACAAATGGCTACATATATATATTGTAAAATTTTTGGAGAACCCTCAACTTGCACTGGCCACTGGCTTTTTTATTTTTATTTTTTGGCATCAGAGGGACAAAACTATAAAAAGATGTTAAGTTGAAACATACGCCACAGGGTTAGGTTTTGAATGCTGGTTTGTCCCTACAGGAATGCCTCAACTACAGTCTAATACTCACATGGCAAAACCTCTGTTGTATAGATTGCTGGAATGGGACGCTTGTCACTTCAGATCCTCGTAACTAGGCGTAAGTTTGTTAAATCCCAAACCCTGTTCTTTAGTAATTCTGGCAGTCTCATGTCATTAAAACCCCTAGCCTCATTCCAGCTACCCCCATGTCCATTTGACATATGAGCATTTCTCAACTGTTGGTTCGTTGACCGTGGGAATGAAAAAATATTATAGACTGGGAACTGACCGAGACGCATGCTTGATATGCTGTAAGCATCATCGGACTGAGAGATTCTATTCCTTCAGTGATTTTGGAGTCGCAGGCTATGACGTGCATAAAGTGATTGATGCATCGGCAGCTAAAGCCTTGCATCTTGGTCAAAAGTCAAAACTGTTGCGGTGTGAAGCTGAAGTCCTTATGACGAAGCCTGGTTTATTCAACCGCGTAGCCATAACCCCTTTACCAACTTTATGTTTTGCAGGGTCAAGGAATTCAA